CGAGCGCTCCGCCCTCTGGCTGTACCGCAGACTCTCAGACTCCGCCAGCTCCCGCTTTGTCTCCGCTATCTCCCTCTCCGTTAGCCCAAACTGGGGCGGTAATGATGTAATGATTACATCATATGATTATACTGTATTATGTCTACCTGATTATCTCCCACAGTTGCTCTGATGATGATTCCAGCATCTCCTCGTGCCATAGGAGACAGTCAACCGGGGGGAGAGGGTGTTGTGGTCTCGGGCTCATCCCACAACTCCTGGAGTGTGAGTATCCGTGCCGATAGTTTCCCCGCCTCCTCGTGAAGCAGCTGGTTCTGGTGGGCGAGGTCGTCGGCCCTCTTCGCCAGTCTCTCTCTTTCCTCCCTCTCAGACTCCTCCCGGCTCTCCAGGGTCGTCGTCATGGCAGCGAACTTCTCTCGGAGTACGGCCGATACAGAGGTGGCTTCGGTCAGTGACTGCTGAAGCTTTGCCACCTATAATATGTATACACAGGTTTCCAAAGTTACAAAGAAATCAGTCACTGATACAGCTTTTACTAATGGTCCATTATTGTCGATACAGCAAATGAATATGTTGCATTTTGAAGGCCTTGGATAACTGAAAGAAAGCTCCGGAAGGCGGACAGAGAGGAAAGACGTGAGAAGAGGAGTAAGGAGGACGGGAAGAGAGGAAAACGAAGAGAGACCTGACATATTTCTGCATTGACCTTATGTCTTGACCTCTCTTCTCTCATTGGTCTGAATCTCTGATGATTTAGACTCTCCTCTTCAATCATCCTCTACCCTTGTTCTCTCCTTCTCCTGATCTTTTGACCCATGTCTCCTCAACATTACTTATCTTCTTGAACACAGTGTGAAAAGCGATGGTAGACTCATATGTTTTTATTCTGAATTGGCTCCGTCTCTTTCATCATGACTTCTTCAATCTTATATTGCTCATCAGTCGCTGCATCCCTCATTATCTCCTTGCTTGCCCTGAACACTCCTGTGCTCTCTGACTCCCTCCATGCTGCTCTCCCCTTCTCTTTCTCTCTCTCTTGTTCTCCTCTACTATGACTTTATTGATATCTTTGCTACATCTCTTGCTATTACCCTTTGACAACTGTACCTGTCTGAATACTCAATTCTCCTAGAATATACGGACTGAATCCATCCCTTCTAGAATATGAAGTGTCGATACTTGATCTCTCTTCACCTACCTGTTGACTGCTATATTCTATATCTAATTTATTTGACCTCTGGCTCTTGAATGATATAGGCGAGCGCATGCAGAAGAGCGATATATTATAGGGGGAAAGAATTAGGATCGGATTACTGAGCTATTTACCTCAATGGCTCTGGCTGAAATTGAAGGCGGCGCGAGATGGGAGAAGACGGAGACAGGAAGAGGGACGATCAGAGAGCTAGAAAGGAAAGAGGGGAGCTATCTGGAGGGGGAGATGGTGAATGACGTGCGAGGATCAGAGCACTCGGCCATAAATTTTATGCATCATCTTGGAGGAGTTAGAGGTTCTAGGTAATATCATGGTGTATGTTTGTGAAGCTTCCAGATCAGTGGGAAAAGCAGGGAAGGAGTCCTGCATCTCTCTTACCTCTCTTTTGTCTCTGAGTCTCCTATCCTCTTTATGAGGCTTGATCGGCCTGTTGATATATGCATTTGTGGATCTGTATGAAAAAATGCTGTTATTATCTGATATAGGAGAGAGCAGGATGGATAGAGGGATGAGGCGCGGGTCTTTATATGAACCCCAGAGCATGAGAAGGAAGAGAGAATGAAGAGAGAGTAAAGCTGAGGAAGGTCCGCGTTGATGTCTGAACATTTGTTTCTGTTTTGAATCATTGAATACTCCTGCTTTGTCTCTCTCTCTGACCTGCTGTTTTTCTTGTGATGTCCCTGATTCTACTGCATGCTATGTGATCTACTGATCCTCCTGTTGACCCTCTCCTATGATCTGATTACATGTTTCTTACACTCTCCACTCCTCTTAGGATTGCTTCACACCCTTAATCAATTCTGTGACTATTGTCTGATGAAGCTCCCTGCTATACTGAACATTTGTTTTAATCTCTTTTGAAATGACTATAAACCCTGTATATATTATATTCTATCTGACTCTTACACTTTATTTGCTCCTCGTCTTTCTCTGACTCTCTTTCCTGCCTTATCTGATGACCTCTTGCTTTGACTCTCCATCTGACTTGACATCTATGAATACCATGACTTCTCTACTTTTTGATTCTGACTTCCTTCACTGTATGTGCTATGAATCTTGAATATCATGCCATTCACTATGCTTGGGAGCGAACAGCGAGGAAAAGGAAGAGGACGCGACGCGCGGGGCGGGAAGCGGGCTGAAGCCGAGCCACGGGACGAATCAGCAGACACGGGGCTGACATCGTCCTCTTGTTTACTTCACTCGAGCGAGAAAGAGTGGAGGGAGATCGGAAGCAAGGGAAGAGAGCGGAGGGAAGGGAGAAGAGGGAGAGATAGAGAGAGAGGAGAGGAGGAAGAAGGAATTTGATCTATATGAATCTCTTCTCTCTTCTCTCTGACTTTTGACAATATGATTCACTTGATTTCATGTCTGACTTCCCAGTTGATCTTTAGTGACCATAATCTGATATATTTTCTCTTGTCTCTTCATACTTCTTGTGCTCTCTGTTCTCTGTACTGATATCTGTTTCATATATATCTCACTTGCTTATCTCTCATGCCTATTTTCTGCTCTCTTGAACTGACTCATATATATTTATGACTTTCTATTCCCCTGTATCTGTAGAAGAGAAAGCGAGCCGGAGATGGGGAGAGAAGAGTAGGAGGAGAGAGAGGCAAGGCAGATGGGAGACTGAGGAGAGAGAAAAAAATGGCGACTCTCTCTCTGATTCGTCTGCCCTTGCTACTGACTGACGCTTGCTGTTTTCTCTGTTGATCTGCTGTTGCTCTCTCTTGAATAAAATGACTGAAAATCATTTTGACTTATTTTCTAGTCACGCCTAGAGAGTGTTACAATGGACGGAAACTAAATGGTTTAATCATGTCCCTAAAATAATTGGTGACATTTTTCCCGACCTCATCTTTAACCCTGTGAAGACTCTCCATGGACTTGCCGTGCTGCAGCAACTCTCTCTCGTACGTCTCTTCCGTCCCTGTCGCCTGCTCCGAGAACTTCCTGGCGTCCTCCTTGGCCACACCCACTTCCTGTCGGACCGTCTCCAACTCCAATTGGAGCCCATCGACTCTCTCCGTGGCTTCTTTCAGTTGCGTCTCCAAATCTGCGATCTTCTCCGACGACGTCTGAGAGAGGGTGCTGCATTCGGTTTGGATCTCTTTCTCTTTCAGTTTCGAGTTGCTCCAGACGTGTCTTTAGGTCCTCTTCGCGAGACGACGCCTCGGCCAGTCTGGATTCCATCTCTGACCTGGAATGGGGACACACACGGCACGGAATAGAACCAGAAACCGCAAACCCCTTGTCCACCATCATAAAGTTGTAAACTCTAGATCCCAGTCATATGTACCTGAACTCTTGGCTGGTTTTGTTCAACTCGGCCAGTGCCTTCTCGTTCACCAGACTCATCTCCTTGTACTGCTCCGCGTGTTGCCGTGACGATGCCAGCTGCGTCTCCAGTCCGTCGGCTCGGGTCTTGGCCGAGTCCAGCTGTCGCGGAGGATGTTGATCCTCTGTCGAAACTCGGAGCCCGCGTCCTGCTCGAGGCGTATCACCTTGTCCTGGAGGGACAGATAATGCAAAATGCGTCATTTTGAGTCGCCAGCTCTCTCTGTAAGCATGTGTCATGAAAACGGAGTTGGCTATGCTCTTCCAAACTTTTACGAGGAAAAAAACATGTCTCTTTTGTTGAGGTGGACATTTTTTTCCTCGCAAGGTTATTATTTATCATGCACACTCACATACAAATTGTACCTTCAAACATCAAACAAAGCGTAGAGACTTTTGTACCTTCAAACATCAAAGAAAAGCGTAGAGATGTTTGTCTGGTGTTTACTATACCTTCAGTTCTTGGATGTTGGTAGCGGTTTCCTTGGCCTGGTTTGCAGCCTCTCGGCCTCCTCTCCTCTCTCCCTCCCTCTCTCCTCGCTCTCTCTCAGCCTCGTCTCCGTCTCTCTCAGTGACTACGCCGGTCGAGTCCAGCCTCTCCCTCAGGTCCTTCACCTGCACACATCACAAGACATAAGCAGCGGTGTTGTCAATTGACTAAGAGAATATTATACATATTATATATATAGTTCATACATAATTATAAGTAATTCTTTGGCCGAGGGCCACCACCCCCTATACAGAGCGTGTCAAATTCAACCCATGTACAAACTTTTGTTTTTACAACCGTCTCTAATAATCATTTCTAGCTTCTTCTGTGCGAGAAAAATGTGGCAACCAACAGACCACACAACACCCCTGTGATGTTAAACCTAGCAATTATCTTAACAGAACAGCTTCATCCTTTCTCTCTCTCTCTCTCTCTCTCTGCCTACCTGCATCTCGTAGGCGTCCATCATTTTCCCCCTCCTCTCCTCCTCGCTGGACAGTCGCTGTTTCAACACTGCCACCTCCCTCTCCAGCCCCCTTATCTGGGTCCCCAGACGGGTCTTGGTCTCAAACTCAGACCGCTCCAGGTTGTTCTGGATGCTCTGCGTCGGAATGGAATCATGGGAATGAGAACATGGCAACAACGAGGTCAAAGTCCAGGTCAAAGTAAACTAATCAACTACACCCTTTTTTCAAAGGAAAAAAGAAGAGCTGCCCTGAGTAATGGCACTAACAGCCCAGTTAAACATACCGTATAGCTACTTAACTTTTGCTATATACAAAAAAGAGAGTTTTTACAAACAATTTTGTTTGCTTCAGCGTGATTTTGAGCGCGATTTTGCAACCATCACACAACGTAAAAATAACGTCACTTTCAAGTGATTTGATAAAGTTGCTTGTCGCAAATTTTTCAGATAAAAATTATTTGTGAATGCAACTCAGTGACTTTGTATATACAGTATTACATGTATATACCTGCAGGTTGACTAGAAGTACGTTCTGATCCTTTCTCTCTCTCAGAACATCCTCATACATGCTCCTGGCCTGCCTCTCTCTCTGCTGCAGACTGGCGTACTCCGCCCGCAGACTGCTCAGCGACACCTCCGCCTTTGCCAGCTGTTCCCGTGACGACAGGAGCTCCGTCGTCGTGGCACTCAGGTTGCCTGGTGACGAGAGAGGGACTCGGCCAACTGCGTGTTCTTGTCTCGCAGGAGGTCCAGTTCGCGTCTGTGAGCGGCGGAGAGTGTGTCTCTATGAGCTTGTAGCGTTCGTAGGCATGTTCCAGCTGTTTGTGTGAGTGTGTGAGTGTGTGTGTGTGTGTGTGTGTGTGTGTGTGTGTGGAGTATATGAAGCCAGAAAAACACTACACAGACTTACAAGATTTTGTTTTAAACACTTGTTATATTAAAGCATGAAAGTGGTGTTTAGCTAAGTGTAATTCACTGCTTCTTGTTTGCATATGGATTGTTTGACTACTGGGTCAGTGCTTGCTTGTCTTACCTGTGCTAGCTAGAAAAAACACTACACAACACTAATATGCTACTTAACAACACTGAGAAACGAAGAGCTAAAGTAACCCAAACCTTGGCAGCGATCTTGACATTGTCCATTCGTAGAGCCGAAGCCTCTTGCCTCAGACTCTCCACCTGCTGTCTCAGAATTCCCTCGTTCGCCCCCTTCTCCCTCCTGTACGTCTCAAACTGCTCACGCAACTCTTTCAACGCACCCGCCGCCTCCGTATCCACGGCAACAACGTCCTCTCTCGGACTCGTTACCATGGAAACGGGGGTGGTCGTCGTGGGTAGAGGTTTCGTTCTCAGAGGGGTTCGTCCACTCCCGTCGATTGCCATGGTCGTATCCCCCGGCAACGGTGTTGACTGAGCGAGGAGGGTGCGGTACATGTCTCTCTGTTGCACGACGGCCGAGACCATCTCTCTCTGCCTCTCTCGTCCCTCTCGAAGGTCCTCCACCTCCCGGAGAGCTGTCTCCAGCTCCAACTGTAGCTCCTGAGGTTGAGAGAGAGAGAGAGAGAGTGACATTTGGACAGTGCATGTTATGCATGTACATATGCGACAATGCCGAGGTAGCAAGGCAATAGGGCAAAGCAAACAAGTCAACTAAAATCTTTCTTTCAAGGAAAAAAGAAGAGTTACACCCTAGGGAGGATTGATTTCATCTCACCTTGGTGTGAGAGTCGACGGTCTCTCTCTCCTTTCTCTCCTGTTCTTCACTCAATTCCCTCACCACCGCCAGCAACCTCTCGTTCTGCTGCTGTAGTTCCTCTATACTCCTAACACACAGAGTGGGGATTACGTTTAACCCTTAGCAAGCCACGGGCATACATACATAGTTGGACTATGGTAGTGGGACTTATAGTTAATAATTAGTGTTAAAAAAGTTCTTAAACCCTTTGGACGCCATGGGTATCTCCTTAAATAAGCAGAAATTGATGTATAAAGTGTATTAGCACCTAGTATTATGACCCATATATGGACTTATGGAGGCTCTGGACACATGAATCATTAACACTGTATATAGTTAAGGTGCCGAACTGAATTTCCAAACGATCGCACACACACACACCACACTCCTTTCTCCCTTTCACTCTTACATACTTGAAGGTCACGAGATGAGCAGAGATGACCTGGGAAGAGGTAGAGATGTCGTGGCTGCTAATGTCACGTGACAGGTCATGTGACGAGGTGACCACGCCCCCTCGTGCCTCCTCGCACTCCTTCAGCAGAGTCTGTACCTGTCGTCGAAGGTCGCCAGTCAGGCTCTTGAGTCTCTTGTTCTCTCTGTCTGTGAGTCTAAACTGCTGCAGGGCCTCCTCGGATTCCATACGCAGAGTTTCACATTCCTGGTTTTTACAGACATATGTACATAATTAATATTATTATTACATGCAATATACATTATTACATGCAATATTCTCACTGTTGGTTACGGTTTATACTGTACTTTGGTATATGTTTCATGATGCCAAGTATGATCTATTCCGCTCATAGAGCATACTTGCCATCATCGAACCTATACATATACACTACTACAAACTGACATTATCTCCACACACACACCAGTAGATATACAACTTTTAGATCCCGGTGATTTGAAATCGCGCAATTTCATTGGTCCAAACGCGGGATCTATTTTCCGTAGATCCCGCTGCCCCGGACGACGGGATCTATTGGGGAGCGAGCGTGAAGACGTGATAGTAAGAGACTCGAGCGAGGTTTCAACTACCCAGCGGCGAGCCAGAAACGGTAGGCTAAAGCTACAGCATTCCCTCGTCGTCCGCCGCGCTTCGCGGAAAAGGGCTCCGCCCACTCTACGCGCACGTATCTTTCCAGAGCGTTCGAGGATTGGCTCGCGGCGAGCATGAGTATGTCGAGTTCCTTCTCGGAGTCTTCCTGGTCTAGACAAGATAGTAACAGCTCGCCTGGTGCTGCCATATCTTCGCAAACAGTTTGAATGGATCTAAACTGGTTAGACGCGTCGCCACGGTAACTACGCGTGGTAGAGTGCCTCGGGCTCCCTAGTAGCGCCCTCGCTGCGCTCGGGACGCCGACAGCTCGGGAGCCCTCGGCACTCTACCACGCGTAGTCACCTCGGCTCCGCATCTAACCTATATGTAGAACAACAAGGATGTTAACAACAACTAGCCCGCTCATAGACAACCAGAAGTGTAAGCGTAAACTCGGGAAGTAATAGCCTGCTGTCTATTTCAGTCGACTATGGTGAAATATTTTCAACAAATGCACTTTCAAAAATACACACAAAAATATTTTTGAAAGTGAAAATATTTTCACTTTCAAAAATATTTTTATTGTGTGTATTTTTAAATGTGAAAATATTTCACCATGGTCAACTGAAGTAGACATCCATCGACTGAAATAGACAGCAAGCTATTATTACTTCCTGAGTACATTATACAGTAGCACACATTTGTATATACACCTCCACAGTTGAGGTGAGTTGTGCAGTGAGCTGGTCGCAGTTCTTCATGGCCGTCTCGTAGTTCCTCCTCAGTTGCTGCAGTGCCGGCGTCTTCTCGTCCAGCTCGTCGAGGACGTGTTGGAGATAGCCACTTGCCTGGAGGAGGGAGACACGAGGGACCCACATGACGTGAACTCAGTTGCTAAAAACACAAGATATAGAGGAATTTCTGGGGAGATCTGCTCTGAGACCAGTGGGGACAAAGACAGACGGAGAGCCCAAACCTGTCGTATCTGACAAGCCAATGAGCATACAAGAGAGGATAAAGCTGCTGAAGAAACCAGGAGAGGGAAGGAAGGGACAGCCACCACCGAAAGATATAGAGGAATAGTTGCAGTGAGACAGAGAATGTAACCGTTCCATATACTCCAACTGTAGTCAAAGCATTAGGGATAGTTGATATCAGTGTACCGTGCATAAAGAAAGGTCTACTTTTAAAAACTTAAAAATCTTCATCATCGTACTAAGAGTTTCAAAGAGAGAAAAATGTCATATTGGTACTGTAGCTAAGAAAAGGTTTTGAGATTGCTTGTGTATATAAATCAACACACACAAAGGAAATTAGTATTAAAACAGCCGTTAAGTTTTGTAACTTGTCTCACTCAAAAGGTCTCCTCTTCCTATCACTATCACTATCACTTTCAATCAGACCTGTTCTTTCTCTTGTTTTTCTATCTCGTAGGATTCAGACACCTCCACATACTGCGAGTAGATCTGGGTGAGTGTCATACCTACAAATAGAGAGAGGAGAGAGAGGAGAGAGAGAGAGAGAGAGGAGAGAGAGGGAGAGAGGGAGAGGAGAGAGAGAGAGAGGAGAGAGAGAGAGAGAGTAAAGTCAACATAACGTACAATTGTGCATACTTCTCTAAGAAGAGAGAGAGAGAAGAGAGAGAGGAGAGAAGAGAGAGAGGAGAGAGAGAGAGAGCAAGGTTGTATATACAAGGAAAAGATAAACAGGATTCCCGTACCTGATTTGATCATGGCGCTGGCTCGAGAGGCCGAGGGAGAGAGGGACAAGATCTCTGCATCTGATAACGACAGGGTTTTCCCCTTGGAAGCCGCCAAGAGGTCGTTGGCCCTCGACAACTCCGTCTCCAAGGCAACGACCTTTGACGACAGCTCCTCGACCTCGTCACTGTGGCTATAAAACAACAAAATGAGCATTAGTCGCATATTATTAGGATAACACCCTTGCAGCGTTAGTTTAATTGCGATTCACTCACCAATTAAAGGGAATGTGGCAGTACGCAAGGGCTAAATTCAGAAATGTAACTAAAGATAGAACAAAACCGATAGGGGCACAGTGAAAGAATGCAACAAGTTCCACTTTTAGTAACACTTCTAAATTTAGCCCTCAGTATATGACACATTTCCTTTAATGTGAAATTCACGCTTAATTTCAAGATATACTCCTAGTAATCCCTGTCAGACCTTATGGTGGCCTCGTTGAGCTGCAGCTGGAGTTTCTCCTTCTCTTGAGAGACCTCCTCCAGTAGTTGCTGCATGGCTTCGGCTCCCGATATCAGATCTTCCACTTTACTCTGGGCCTCCCGGGACGCCGACTGGTAGAGCTCGGCCAGGCGAGACTGGGGGAGGGAGGGAGGGATCGATAAAAATACGCATGCAGTCTAGTTTTCCATCAGTGAAATTGGGAGAGAGAGAGATAGAGAGAGAGTTCCATCAGTGAAATTGGGAGAGAGAGAAGGAGAGAGAGAGAGGGTTTTCCATTAATGAAATTGGAAAAGTCGCAATACAACAGCTATGGAAAGAACAACGCAAAGCAACAAAATGGAGTCCAATGGAGAGAAGTTCACGTTTGTTTTTTGAATATTCTACTTTGAAAATATCACAGCTTGTCTTCTTGACTTATGAGAAGGATTTCTCACCTGTGACGACAGTTCTTTCTGAGCTGTTCCTCGACAGCTGCCTGTTCTTCTCGGGAGAGCCTCATCTTTGCCAGATATCCCTCCGCCTTCGTATCCAGCTCTCTCTTTGACGACGCCACGCCCTCCAGCTCCCTGGTTAGGTGGGCCACCTGGGGAGGAGGACGGGACAGAGAAGGAGAGACACGGACGGTTGGTGAACTCTTCGACATATATTCACCTGTACATGGGTGTATATTGCCGCTGTATACTATGGTCTGTGTGTGTATATATGTAACCTATTGTCAGGGGAGGGGGTCGAATATTTGAGAAATATAGGGGGGGTATATAAGGGGTAACCAAGACTCACTTAATATTTATTGATGATTCAGGAGGCCATTTTTAGGGGAGGGGGGGAGGAGTTACGGTATGAAAAGTACCTCTCGCTCCCTCGATGCTAGTTTGGCCTCCAAGTCAGCTAGAACTGTGGCCTTCTCTTTCTTCACTCTCAACAGCTGCTCCGACTTGTCCTCCAACTCTCTAGTGGAGAGAAAAGAGAGTATGGACAAGAGAGAAAGGAGAAAAAATAAGAGAGAAAATAAGAGAGAAAGGAGAGAAAATAAGAGAGAAAGGAGAAAATAAGAGAGAAGGAGAGAAAATAAGAGAGAAAGGAGAGAAAATAAGAGAGAAAGGAGAAAAAATAAGAGAGAAAAGAGAAAATAAGAGAGAAAGGAGAAAAATAAAGAGAAAGGAGAGAAGTTAGAGACCTTGAGAGCCACTCGTTCTGGCTGCGAACGAGCTCCTTCTCGTGAGACAAGAGCTGCTCCCTCAATTTCAGAGCCGCCTCCTGGGTCACCTGTTCCTCCATCCTGTAGGGCGGCAAAGGTCCATTGTGTCCCGTGCACATCAGCTCAAAAAAGCACATAATTTTCATTTGAGAAAAATTTGGGCGATTCAATGGTAGTACAGGTAGTAAAAAAACTTGAGAAAAAGACCCACTATTCAGTGCAACAAAAAGAACATATGTCGTACTGTACAGCTGTTATACATGTACAGATGTCGTACCTGATTTGAATCTGAGACTTGGCGGCAGACGTGGTCTCCAGTTTGCCCGCCAGTCGTCTCCACTCTTCGGACAACTGACTGATCTCGTGTTGCCTTGACAACAGACAAACAAGCAAACAAACACACGATAATTTTTTTCGGCGTACACTTTGATATGCAGAAATTCAACAAAACACAATTCAAAATGGCCCGATGGTGTCATCAGTGTACTTATAGACACGAGACCTCTGTAACAAGCAACAAAGTGTGTTCATAAAAATTTTATATAACTATAGTCATATAAATCATAGACAATGTAATACGAGAAGGGGGTCAGAGTTAGTGGTTAGAATAAGAAAAACATGTACTTATGCGATGTAAACATGTAATGACCCATTATTTAGACAGTATACCTTACCTTCTGTCAAGTAGTCTGAGTAGTTCCTGTCTGTCGGCTCCGGGTACATCGGGTGGCGGTTTTCTCAGCTCGGCCACCATATCCTGAGCCTCTTTCAACTCCTCCAGCGTTGACGTCAACTGTCTCTCTGGAGAACACGGAAGAAAAGGATAAATCACTTACTTCACTCTCGAATGTGCCAACGGTAGCACACGCAGAGATGAAACTTTGTACTTACGCTACACATGCATTTCCACGTATTTCTGGAAGTTATATATATATACAAACGGTGGTTGGGATAGTGGAAGCAAGGAACAACAGATAACCAGCAAAGAAGAAATAAAGCGACAATAGACAAGAGTTTGGTGGAGAATTTTAGAGGAGCCCTCGGCTATTAATCCATGCTCACTTGTCAAGTGAAGGTCACTCTCCACGTCGGCTCTGGTCTCCCTCTCCTCGTTCAACTCCCCCTCCAGTCTAGCCCTGGTCTCCTCGGCAACTGGGGAACGGATGTATTATTATATTACGTAACGTTTCGTAATTTTCCAGGCTCTTGCGAAGGTATTGTGAAATGCGAAAACTTTGTCCCGATGTGTGTGTGTGTGTGTGTGTGTGTGTGGAAATAGTGGCTCACTTCTACGAGATTCCTCCAGTTGCTCTTGATAAAGCTCCGCACTTGCCTACAATAAATGTTTGCACACTCAAATACGAGAAAGTACTATACACCATGAAAAATGTTATCATTATAACCTGGTATGTGGTGGCAATTTCTTCGAGCTCTGATTTTTCGGCAACTGCCTGGACTAGTTGCTGCTCTATTACATCTGCAAGAGTAGAAACACGTCAGCAAACTACTAGCTACACTCTAGTGGCTACTGTAGTATAATATTATAGCAAAGTTACCGTGAAGTAGAACTCTAATTGATGCGCACCTATTTTTTGCTCCCGCTCAATGACTGCAGTCGTGAGCTCCTTGACCGTGGACTGGTAGTTCTCTATCTCCTCGTCCCTCTGCGTCACTAACCTCTCCTCCTCCCGCCCCTCTCCTCCTACATCTACCTGCTGGGGAGCCGACGGCTCGGGCATCTCTTCGAGACTTCTTTCCTGCTCGCCGTCCGAGTCCCACCCAGTCTCGCTAGCGCTGGCAGTCGCCTCCTGCGATTCATCAAACTCGCCGCTTCTCTCTCCTTCATCTCCCACTTCTTCTTCTTCTTCTTCTTCGAGCTCTAGAGTCGTTTCTGGGTCGTCGTCTTCACCTGCCGCTTCGTAACCGTCTTCTTCCTCCTGCTCTTCGCCTGCTGTCGTCTCGGCCGCAGTCTGGAGAAGCTCTGAGTCGTCTTCGCTCGTTGGGCCACTCACTAGTTCGTCTTCCTCTTCTTGAGAAGACGGGAGCGGAGGCTCGGCTGTCGCCATTGCTTCTTCTACTTCTTCTTCTTCGGTGGTCGAGGCCGCGGGGTCAGGGAGTGTGGTTGAGCTGGTGGCGAGGGAGACCTCGGGCACCTCTACTTCTTCCTCTGTGGCCCATTCTTCACTCTCCTCCGTGGACGCCATCCACCACGCTCGCTGCGGTAGTGCGTGCAGAGAAAACGTTGGCGCACTGCGCATGCGCATTCAGTGAGGCGCACTGTAAACATGGCCGCAGCAACTTCTCTCTCTCTGCCTGGTGGTAAGCCCCTCCCTCCCTCTATCCCTCTCATCATCTCCAGTCAGGACAACTGGAACCCTCTCTCCTGCAAACTGGAGACTGGCAACCAAGACCCCAACAACCACACCCTCAAGCTAGTAGCCGATGCAGTGGAACTACTTCGCAGCATCGACAAGCCACTAGCCATCTCTATCTGTGGTCCCCACCGTTCAGGCAAGTCTTACTTCATATCTCGCGCGCTAGGTAGCCCTGGAGCCTTCCAGCTTGGCCACAGCATGCAGGCCTGCACTCGAGGCATCTGGATGGCCACCACCGTCCTAGAATGCCCAGATTTTGCCACCGTCTTGCTGGATACGGAGGGTATCGATGCCGTGGGAGCCTCTGAGACCATGGCCATGAGTTTGCTCACCCTCACCACTCTCCTCAGCTCCTTCCTCATCTACAACTCCAAGAATCTACCTAAGAAGGTGGACCTCGACAAGATGAGGTGTTTCTCCCAACTCTCCACCTCTCTCCTTGCTCAGTGCGGTGAGTTAGAGTCTGTCAGGGTGAAGAAAGGATTCTTCCCTCATTTTCTGTGGCTGCTTCGAGACGTGAGCCTCAAGATGACTGACAAGGAAGGTAAGGAGCTGGGGCCAACCGAGTTTCTCCACACCCGAGTCCTTGCATCAGAATCAGGAGAGCTCACAGACTTGGGCAAGTCTCTAGTCAGTCTTTTCCCATCTCTGGAATGTGCCACTCTCCCGCTGCCCTCGATTAATCCAAAAGTCATACGTGACATTTGCAATAGCGAAGACAATCTGAGTCCTAAGTTCAATGCAGCAATCGATGCTCTGATCCAGGAAGTCCTCCAAAAAGTAGCTCCAAAGAAGGCAATGGATGGGGAAACAAAAGTGACTGGAAAAGCTCTTGCTGCTCTAGCTGGATGCTACGTGGAGGCAGTCAACAGGCCAGGAGCTCTACCAGACCTGGACCAGGGCTGGCAGGCAGTGGTGAGGCTGGAGCTGAAGGAAGTCTCCTACAAGCTGGTGAGGGAGTACGAGAGGGAAATGGAGGAGGCTCTGGAAGGAAACCTGCCAATGGAAGTGAGTAATCTCCTGAGAATCCACCGACAGACACTCAAGAGAAAGAAGAGTGTTCTGAGAGAGAAAATCTGCCGTGTTAACCCTCTCCACTCCAGCCATGAAGAAGTCCAGCCACTTCTGGACCAGATGGAACGGGATATCGTGACATGGAGTGAGCCAAGCGATGAGGGAGAAAAGAAAGTGAATGGAGGTGCCCTTTATAAGTTCATTGAAAACAATTTTTCAACCTCAAAGGACTACTGCGAAAAGTTTTTTTATGATCTCGTGAAACAGAGCGACATTCACAAAATTGTTGAAACTGCTGTGAGAAAGTCGGAATGTCGTGATGTAGACGATGATATTCAAAGTATTACTGCGGAATACCACAGAAAAGCCGTAGGACCAGCTGCCAGTGGAGTTCTGGAGAGCGGACTCTCCGGACTGAGTCAATTCTCAGATATACTCAAGAAGATTCCGGGCCCACCACAGAATGTTAAAGTTATTGGAAGAGGCAGTGACAGAGTCAAACTGAGCTGGGATCCTCCAACACGAAATCCAGAAGCAGTTGAAGCGTACGTTATCTACAAGAAGCCTGATGGTGGAGAATGGGAAGTGGCTGCGAGGACTGAGAAAACAAAGGTTGTGGTAAAAAAGTTTGAATCGTGTACCAAGTATGAAATTTCTGTGTTAGCCACCAGCTCGGCAGTTGAGAGCGTCGTGAGCAGTCGGGCTGAAGCTGTGACAAAGGCATCAGCTTCAGATGAAGTTTTGTTTGGGATCAGTCACACTGTTCAGGGAGTGCCACTACTGTTGATGGCTGCTGGGCTAATTAAACCAATGTCACCATACAAGCAACGCAAGTTTTATGCCGCAGCCGGCTTAGCACTGCTACCTCTTGGTATTGCTATGTCTCCTATATTGATTCCCTTTGCACCGGCAGTGGCTGTAGGTGCAGCAGTAGCAGCGGCAGGAAGTAAAACTGGCGATCTAACTGAAGAATAAATGTATAGCTAGTAGTATATAGCTATGTTTTTCCAGATCCAAGATATAAAACGTCACTTCATAATACTCGGGGAGATTATTGTGTTGACGCACGGGTCGCGTTCGGCACATGCTGACTGCTGGATGCACGTAAATGTTCCGCACGTGCCCAATGGTTTCTTTTTCTGCAATAATATTATTATAGTCAATGGATACACAAAAATAGTGATCAACACAGCAAATCAGACATACAAGAGTATGTATGTATAGGTTGTGTTACCGTAAGTAGGTTAAATGCAAAAATTGTTCACGAAATGAAGGATGATGGGGGTGGGGGAACAGTAGACGATTTACAATTATAATACACAAATCAGAGTCTTGTCTGTTTTTTAGTTCCCTCGTTGGGGGGTTGGCAGTGGGCTCTAATTAGACATCGGGGATGGAGTGGTCCATGCTCTTTCTCAGAGACTTGCCCATGCTGCAGGAAGAAGAGGAGGAGAAGAAGAGACACACATGAACCTCATACATACCGTGTCATAACGCCAAACGCGCAGTGCATTATATCCTTTTGCCCTCCAAATAATGCCCCCCACCACCACCCCTTAGTTAAGCCGAAGAGCAGGCACTAAAATCGCCACATGGTATATACATACATACACAGAGCTGATATACAGAACCTCCATCGATCCCTCCCTTTCCCGTCTGAATTAGCACTCGGTACACAACTTCCAACACAACACTCCCAATTTCCTCTTCAAAATCGACTTCTTCACATTTGTACAAACTGTTACACACTTCCCTCCCTCCCTCCCTCCCTCGATTTCTCTCACTTCTTCATGAGGTGCTCGTAGATAAACTTGGGCATGATGGTGATGGTGATGGTCCGCGGGCTCTCGTCAAAGATCTTGGCAATGTCCTTGTCCTTGATGCCAATGACATTCTGTCCGTTGACCTCGCAGAGGTAGTGGTCTATCAGGAGACCGTTTCTAGAGAGACGGCGGGAGGAATATGTACAAGAAAAACACTTGGAGTTAAATAGTCCTCAAAAAAGTATAATACATGGATTCTGGATGAGCAAACATGCATAAGTTGAATATTACTGGGATCACTATAATTACAACTGTTAATCTAAGGTGTTTGGGGACAAAAAGCAGTCCCCAAAAGTATAATACATGGATTCCGGAGGAGCAAATCCATAAGCAGCACATTCTAGGATCACTATTATTATAACTAAGTAGTTTGGGACAAAACCAGTTCGGGGAGGGCGGGGGAATTTACTCGCTTGCCCCCCTCGTTAGAAAGATCCCTGCAACTGAGCATTGTGTGTATGTTTACCTGGCAGCGGAAGAGTCCTTGACGATGGCCTTGATCTCTCCGTTATTGTAGGAGAACCCCACGTGATTGGCGCTGTCTTTCTGCATGGTGATGGTTCGCTCGAACGGACGGTCGCGAATGGCGAGAGAGATGCGGGCGGCCGAGGCCTTCTTGACGGCCTTGCTGGCTTTGTCGCTGGAGAAGCCTGCAACCACCTCTCCTTGGATCTGGAAGAGGGAGGGAGAAGAAGGGGAGAGAGAAATATATATATAACAGTGGTATGGAGGAAATGAAGTAGCATTAATTTTTGCAAAGTATAGAAGGACTTTACGACTATTAAATTGTAAGACCACTTCCGAAGCTAGCATGATGTGGTAGTATATTAATATACAGCTCTTAGAAGTGAATGAGGTGAGAATAGGAAATGTTGGACTCCCTGGCAGCCTTAGAGAAACCAGGAAAGAGGCCACTAAAGGCTGCTTGGATTAGCAAGTCCCCACAGTATACTCATTGACTACACCAGGTCACATAGTGCCCAGTATATTCAGGGTGAGAGAATTCCTCCCCCCCCCATGTGAGGGTCATGTGATAGAAATCATAGGGTCTGGGAATGTTCCGAAATGAGGTGTGAATACACTAGGCAGTGAGGCAATAGGAACTATGAGGAGTCCAGGAAAGGCTCTCCACTGTCAACACATGTCTAGCTGCAACAGCTACTACAGGTAACAGTGCACCGCATTTTTCAAGTTGCTGACCAGTGCACACACTTAGGTGGCAATACCTACTGCAAATCTAGGAGAAGGTATGCTTAGACATAATACCTACTACACTAAGGGTGCTAGCTACCTATGTACCTAATGTATGGGTGTTCACTCTACTTTCAAGTATGCAGTATGCTCAGGCGTAACATGGAAGTTCCAATCACACGCACAAAAGGCAGACCATAGTATGTGCCTTACTAAGAATGTTCCCATCACATGCAAAGAGTCATAGTCACTCTTTGACACATACTCATTGTTGCCATGATGTGTGGCTGACAGCACATGATGTATAAGTGATGTCAGGTCACATGGTGTACTGGCACAATCTACTGGAACTATGCTAGTGTCAATTGCTGATCACATGACACACACTACATATGAACACAAACACTGAGAGAGCAAAATTGGTGTCTGTGGCAGTAAAAATAAGAGGCTAATCTGGCAAGATTTGGCAGACCTGGTCTCTGAATACAGAACACAGTAAAAAATTTTGCTGCTTCTAAAAAATTTTTTGCAGGTTAGCTGGTAAAATTTTGCAGACCTGGAGAATCTGGTCTCCAAATCGAAGACCAGCCATGGCGCCAGGTGACCCAGTCTTGACGTAGCAGACAAACACGCCCTTGCTCTCGGCAAAGAAACTGATTCCAACTTTTCCACTGCCGTCCTTACACACCACGACCTCTCGCACTCCTGCCAGGGGAGAGGAGGGAGGGAGGGAGGGAGAGAGAGAAAATTAGAGGGGCAAAGAGAAAGATATGAAGAAGAGAGAAAACATGCGAGTTCCAGCAGAGGGCAACAATGAAAGTCAGGTATACACTTTCACACAAAATACATGCAAGCACATTATGTACACAAACCCTGTACAAACCCTTCTCGTGAATAGAGACACACAATAGCAAACATTCATTCCAGTTTGAAGAGGTGTTGTACACAGCGGTTAGCTTAGTTTGAATGTGCGTATGGTGCCACGAACACACCCACTCCCGACACTCTCTCTGAAGGCACACACGAGAACTCAAACACTCAATCACTTGAAGAAAAGCAGCATGAGAAGGTACTAAATCTCAGTTCCCTTACCTTTCTCCCCTATTGTCCCTTATATTCCCTCTCTCTCTCTCTCCTCCCTTCTCTCTCCCTCTCTCCTTACCCTGCTTGATCTCGGCTCTGCGGATCCCGACGTTGGCTAGACCAGTCACGGGGCCACTGTTGGCTCGTGTTGCCACCGCATTTCCTCCACTCACAACTACAGCCCCTGACGTAGGTGCCTGCGCATAGTCACATAACAATGATAAACACCATATTATAATGAATGCAGGTGCAGTTCCACTATGAGAGCATAGCTAGAAACTTGCACATTACACTAACATGTGACTGCCATGTGACTGACATGTGACTGCCATGTGCTGCCAAACTCTCCCTAAGCAGCTCTCACAGCAGGTGTATGTATGTATGTATGTATGTATGTATGTATGTATGTATGTATGTATGTATGTATGTATGTATGTATGTATGTATGTATGTATGTATTAATGACTGCAGGCACAACATGTGTTGTAGCAAGCAAGAATGGCAACGTTGTCAGCAAGTTGTAACTACAGCATTGCGATACTGGTGGAAGCGGACTAAGGCACAAACACCAGAAAAACGTGGCACGGGAACGTTGGTGGTGGAAGCTACTGTGACTTTTGCTATACATCACATAACACGACTGAAACTCTATCTATGCACCGGTATGCATGAGCATTACAAGAAGCACGAGAATTGTATTACGGTAATCCCCAAAAGGAACAGACGACACGGTACGAATTGTACGAACTCAGGTGGGATGTGTGTTGGAACGTAACGAATGAAAGTGAATCAGCAAAGGGGCTAATAATAATTCAGTGGTTGCGGGGTTAAAACCGATAGTCACATGACCAAAATTCAGTGGGTGAAGGGTTAAGAGACTCACAGCAGGAGGGCGGTATTGAGTCAGGTTTGAGACCCATGTACTCGTCATTGAGATTGGGGTAGAGCCCGGCGTAGGGAGAAGCTGCGGCCGGTGCGGGAGGGGCCGACGGTCCTCCTACCGCATGTGGGGCACTGGCAATGGCTGGCTGGGGGTGGGTCTGGACTTGAGCCTGTGAGGGAGGTAATCACGTGACGGAGAAAGAAAAATTTCAACAGCAACGCCAGCAAGACCTGAAGGCATGCACTTCAGGACAGCTGTACATGTAGCATGTGCAGTCGAGCAGTTTTCTGAAAATCCACCCACAGAGCCAAATAGAGAAGCGAACGATGGTGCGTAGCCATCGCTTTCCCCCCGCACGCCCGCCCCATTAGAGAAACGTAGTAAACACGGAGCGAGAAACGTCGCGTATTATACGTACCTTGGCCATCTTTCCGACGGTCATGTCTTCGAGGGACGGATACAGAGACATGTCTGCTTTCTTTTCTGGTTGCTTGCTTGTCCTGAGAACTGAATTTAGAGAGTGAAATTCTCGATTTGCTTGCAGGAACTTCGCACGGCACCAAATATACTGCGACACCAAAGAGAATCGGAACTGTACTGACTTGGACTTTCCTTATTAGGCAGTCACATGACTCACGTGAATGACGTAATTGAAATCTAATTCCGGACAAATACACGTGATTCCCACGTGAACAAGTTGTACGACACTGCGTAATTGTTTCTATATTTAGTTACAAAGTGCAGCGTGTATAAATCACATCAACACACACAGCAGAGACGCGCGCGGGAAGAAGAAAAGGGCGTTTCTGTGTGTGGGGGGTGGAAAGGCCGTATGGAGAGACTTCGCTCTCCGACCACGGAGCTGAGTAGGGGTCTGGGCGCCCTACGCCTGGGCCAGCAATCCCTTACGCCTCCTAAATGCGGGGAGGAGAGGTGAGAAACAATAGAAGTCTATCCCGCGTTTACTAATGTTTGTGTATTCTGTGACGTTGCTAAGGAATCTCGTTTGTGTAGTGCACTGTGCGCTAATGCATTCCGGCTGTACACCTTGCACCCTAATCTCTCCTCTCCTCTTTTTCTCCTCCCTTTCCCTTCCCCCAAAGTGATGATGGACAAGCAGTTTCAAACGCTGACTTCACTCCACTCTCTATGAGGGAACGCCACGTGGAGATCGACACTCAAAATACCCACCAAACTCCAAATGAACAATTCTCATCACGTTACCAAGAACCCGGACATGCATCTGGCTTTTCTAGGTTTTGCGACAACGCCGGGAAGCGACCTCCCTTGGTCTTTTCCCATTTGGAGCACACCCCTGTCGCTGGAGACAGCGACTGTGTCCCATTCCAAGGTGGTGTGGAACAGAACCAGCATCACTGCCTCTCGTGTTGCGCGAGAAGAACGAGTGAAGCAAGTGCTGTTCACGGAAGTGGTTGGGAACAAGATGGTCAACTGCTCACTCAGTTACAATCACTGACAGTATCGCCTAGCTCAGGTATAGGGAGAATGCGGGAAGAAGATGGAGCTGCCCCTCAATTATTCGGACATGATTATCTCCAGAGAGGCACTGAGTCGTCGGAGAGTGGTTGTGCCTGTGGAGGCCACACCCCACAGTGGGCGTGGTCTCGTGGTTGTCACGGCAACTGTCGCGACGAGGCCCTGGGGGTGGGGTATGTTGACGATGTCACAGTGGAGGACCTGGCTGGGTACTTTGACCAGATGCTGCATCTACCGAGACCAATGTCTGATATGGCTCAGCTCATGTACACCTGACTAAATACTAATAATTGTCACTGAATTTGGTTTCATAATTGTTCCCCAATAATTAGGAACATAATGTATTCTGCGATGAAGTGCTGGCTGATTTCGTTGAGATGGAAGCTGATTACAACTTCAAGACTGAACAGTAGCAGAGACTACGCATGCGCAGCCGCAGTAACGAGAGTGGAGATGTCAGAGGGGGGCTCGATCAATTGAGTTTTCGGTCCCAGTGGGGATTACGTTATTTTCCCCGCCCCTCCTTTCATCATCCAGCTAACAATGGCGACTACCTCGACTATCCCTGTCGGCGGAATTCTAGCCTCGGTCTTCTCGAAGATTCTGGGAGCTCCTGTCGTGACGTACGACGAGTACCAGCGACAGAAAGAGGAGTCGCCCGGCGCGCAGTTCCAAACCCTCGACGTCGAGCAGATCTTTCGTCTTAGCTACGACTGGTGTAACGAAGAGGAGGAAGAGGAGTTGCAGTCTATGGCGGCAGAGGGAGGGAGGGTCAGCGGACTTTGTCACGAAGTCCAGAATCTCTCCCTTGGCGAAATCTCCGTGCGAGTGAAAACGCTCAACGACTACTCCCACTTGATACGTGTAGAGGAGCACGGTAGTGTACGGCAGTTGAAGGAGAGGATCCGGGAGAAGCTGGGCATGCCGTGTGAGGAACAGCGACTGACGTTTGGAGGTATACTACTGGACGACGATTATAAAAGTATCTCCGACTACGGTGTTGGCCAAGGTAGCACTCTCCACATGATGATGCTGTCCCGTGGTGTAGTGCCCACCAGCGTAATTGACGACGAAAAGCTGCTCGATCCAGCATTCAATTTCGACTTTACAAATGTGGACGACGGGGATGCGGAGTTCTACCGCGGCGGCAAACGTTACTATCGCCCATGCGGTTGGCAGCGATTCGCCCTCAAGGTGAAGGGTAAGTATGTGAATCAAGAAGATGGAAAGGATGACAAGTGGTTGGGCACACCAGGCCATAGGGAGCAATCTTCTAGAGGCGAATGGCCTGTATCTTATCATGGCACTCGCAAAGAGTGCACCGACAGTATCGCACACAGCGGATTTCTGCTACAGAAATTGCAACGGAAGAGATTTGGGCTTGGGATCTACTCCACCCCTTCCATTGAAATAGCAGCTGACAAGGAGCTCTATGCGCACCCTTTCAAGGCTGGTGGTGGCAAGGATTACCAGCTGGTGTTCCAGAATCGAGTGTGTCCTCGAAGTCTGAAAATTATTCCACCATCGGAAACTAAGGTCGATGGAGAATATTGGATACAGAGAGAACGAGAAACGTATAAGACCCTATGGCATTTGTGTGCGACTCTGTGACTGAGGGAGCATAGTTGTTAGTTTCTACTTCCTTAGAAGATTGGCACTGTATGTGTAGGCTAATAAAAAAATTCTACTTTCAGTGTTGTGCGATGTATAATTATATACTGTGCGAGCGGACAGACTGCGCATGCTCCAGCTAGCGGAAGAGCAGCAGATAATCGATTCCATCATCATGGCGGCGGCCAAAGTTGGAGTGGGCAACCTCTTGGCTTCGGCCTTCTCCTCGACTCTGGGGTCCACCGTCGTCTCGTACGAGCAGTACGAACATGAGAAAGACGAAAAAGACCGTTACTTCACAGAGCTCACCATCGGACAGCTCTTCAAGATCAGCAACATCTCAGGCCAATTCGGCGACACGCCGCACCTTCAGCCGGCGACTGAGACAAGCTTGACAATCTACGTGAAAACCCTGACAGGGAAAACTCTCATCGTAGAAACGGCTAACCAAGAGACGGTGGAGAGTCAAACGCAAGATAAAGCGCATAGAAGGCGTACCTCCGGACCAGCAACGTCTCATATTTGCTGGACAGCAACTGGAGGACAAGAGGACCCTTTACGACTACAGTATTGAGCACGAGTCAACGGTGCACTTGGTACTACGTCTACGTGGCGGCGGATGCCCAACACCATACATTAATGACTCTCTCCTTGACCCCAGCTATGATTATGATTTCACCCACCAAAAAGACGACGGGAAAGTATTTTACCGCGGTGAAAAACGGTACTACCGACCTTACGGCTGGGAGAGGTTCGCCCTGAAAGTGCTGGGGAGGTACGAGGACGACGCCTGGCTTGGGAAAGGAGGTCATAGAACAGGTTCGTCCCCGGGAGAATGGCCCGTGTGTTACCACGGTACGGCCGTGGGGGCGAGCGGGTCCATCGCACAGGAGGGGTACAACCTCAGCAAAGGAAAACGATTTTTGTACGGACATGGGATCTATTCTACTCCATCAGTTGAGGTTGCCTCAAAATACGCGCAAACGTTCTTCCACAAGGGTAAAAAGTATCAGCTTGTGTTTCAGAACAGGGTATCACCCGAAGGTCTTGTGGTGATAGATTCCGCGACGACTGGGGCGGGTGAATATTGGGTCCAACCGAAAGGGGGAGCAGTCCGTCCCTACGGAGTGTGTATCAGATCTCTAGCTCTATCGCCATCATCGGGGAGTGCAGACCTCGCAAAATGTCAATCTACAAAATGTAGACGTACTTGCTAACTATCGTGTCAAAAACAAAACAGTTCAAAAACTCTCCGACCATGGACCATGGTCTACCTTCACTTTGTGTGTGTGTGTCATTCCCCTCCCGTAACTATGGGCGCCGCGCGCCACACTTTATATTACGCGAATGGGCGTGGTAATATTCCGCGCATGCGTAATTCCGCGTGTGCGGAGCTAGCTATATAACATACGCGCGCAAAGTAAACTCATGTATATGTCCGTTGTGAACAGAATCTGCAACTTAGCACTCCACAGTCCAATGAAATACGGTGCAGCAGTTTTGTTCCAAGTAGGAGGCAAAATTAATTTCAACCATCGTGATCAAACTGAAAAGCCATATATTATTATTTAGATCTGCTATAGCACGAATAATTATAACACAAACACAATGGTTCTGTAAATCAAGTTCAAAGTGATGCACACCAGTGGTTGGGTTTTCAGAGTTGCTGGTGTCGTCTGAACTCGGCAAAGATGTAGGCCGGGATGAATCTCTCCACTGCTCTCCGGGGCAGATGGCTGTAGTGGGTCAGCTCCTCCAGGTAGCAGAGAGCATTCACCACCTCCGCTGACAGACTCACCGCCTTGTCCCTGCGAATAGAGGGGGGGTTGAAGTTAGCAAAAAAGTGTGGATTCTCACTTGGTGGAGGCATTGGAATGGACCATGGACCGCACGTACTGCCCCATGTAGCCCAGGAACTGGTCTGTGTTATGGGAATGGAATTGTCTCAGCAGAGACAAACACCCCGTCACAAAAGCTGGTCCGTCCAACGGATCAGTTGGCTTCCTACTCAGAAGACTTCCTGCACGACAGTGTAAAAACACCACGTGATAAAAAATTTTTTATTACCGAGCTATAATTTTTTGTACGTACCTACGCTCTTGTTATAGACGAGTTTGGGGAGTTGAGTGATGACAAACAAGAAGCAGATGATGCTGAAGTTCTTCACCACAGGTTGTTGTGTCACGTAGATCTAGAGAGAGAGATGTAGAGATTTAGAGAACTAAACATTGGCCGAAACTTTCAAGATGAATAGCTGCATACTTACAACTGCTGCGTTCAGCTCAGCAAAATACCAGTGAACGTTGACCTGCATGCGCTGCTTCCGGCTAGAAATTGTGTGCATTCATCGCTATTTATTTGTAATAATCTGGAAATGTCTCATGCAAGTAACCACACGTAGCACTGTCGTATGGCCCGTCTGTCACCACCACTATGCCGTGCGATCGACGCCAGACGCAGTACGCAACATGACACGGACGCACTCGCTCCTGAGTCATAGACGTAGTGGTGGCAGACGGCCTAAATATACATCCGCCTCGCTAGCACTCTTCGATGGCCGCTTGCTCACAACACACTACCGCCAGCGTGTCCTAGGACAGTCCCATGAGAACGATGGCATCGTACAGTCGACGCCCTCGTGATCTTATACCCTACAACAAACACTAGACCGACCTGTCTGTACCAGCATGGTGACAGATGATTACATAATACCCCTACATACAGATATTCTGTAACGTCACTCGGTGACACTGACCTTGGAGAGAGGGTCGTGGAACCCAGCGGACTCCAGGTAAGGCGTCAACTCAAACAATATGGCATTGTCCTCTCCGGGATAAGGGATGGAGGGGTCTTTGTAGTGGGCCTCTATTGCTGTCAGCAGAGACCTGGTTAAGGAGAGAGAGAGAGAGAGAGATAGATCATCAATTTCGGATAAAACGAAAGAGAATAAAACGGGAAGACAGCAGCCCGAAAACCTTGGAATAGTGACAACCATGGTCAGTCCTCTCAACACTTCTCATAGTATTATCATTCAAAAGGGCACCTCTCAGTGAGAGTAGTATATATACATACTCACTGGTTGAGGCTGCGGGAATTGCCAGTAGTGTTGTTTGAGTCAAACTGCACGTCTTGCATCTCATCTCGCGTGATCTGTCTCCGTATCAACTGAATCTGACCCACCTTAGTACATACACATGAACAAAACAGGAAAGCGACTCTCGTCGAACACAGCTTGCGCTCTTGACGCCTACAGTACAATGACGAGATAAATTGTCAGATTTGGGTTGATTCCAGTAATGTTCTTCGTATAGTACTTCGGATCAGCTGCAAATCAAAGCAAAAAAACACTCATTATCTATTCTTCTCTTCTATATATTTATACACTGCTCCATGTGTGCCTCTACTCTTGTTGCTGTTCAAGTTGCTAGCGCTATTGTCTATTTGCTGCTCTCATGCGAGAACGCATCGCAGTCTTCAACGATCCCTTTTCAACTCTCTCTCATCGCAGCGCGACACAGCGCGCGGCCGAGCGCTGCGCGCGCGCGCGCGCAGCGCGCGACTCAGCGTCGCACACGCGCGCGTCCACTCTTTTCTCATCTTCCCTCTTTCTTCTCCTCCCTCTCTCACATCATTTCTCTCCCATCCGCTCCTCCCTTCTGAACTCCTCTCTCATCTTTCTCCCTCCCTCCCTCCCTCCCCTTCTCACGCAGGAGTTTCTCCGGTCCCTCCAGAGTGAATATCATCCCCTGCACAAGTTTCACGAAGTCGGGGGTCTTCAGGAGCCTCGCTGCAGGTAGCGCAGGAACAGCTGCAACTCTCTCACTATCATGAACAGAAGCACAGGTCGAGGCACGTCAGTCCAAAGATGTCACGCCTCCTGCGAGGAAGAAAGGGTGTATGAATGCTGGTAGCTCCGTCGTCGGAGCGCTCGCCTAGACCTGCAGAGTCGTCGATGGGTCGAATCCCACACGGCAGCTCTCTCCGTCTCTTTGAAAGAAGAGGTGTCCTGGGTGTAGTTGCCTTGCCTTGCATTTCTCTACCACCTCGTTACCAAGTAGTTAAGAGACAGGCGAGATCACGATGCCGGGATTGAAACAGTTTTAAGGAACTCCAAAAACTAAAAAGGGTCACCTCTCAAATAATTATGTACCTTCAGTTGCAGCAGCACAGCTGCTGTTGACAACCTCAACTGACGTCTTCTTGTCGTACCACGCGACCCATCTGGCGATGTAGCTGGTGTGCTCCTAGGGATATGCCGTATCTCTCGTAATTCTCATGTATACTCAATCACAATGTCAGTAATCTCCAGTAAATTGTAAGGTAAGATTGTTGTATTACTTGGTGACGGTTTAAGTAAGATTGAAGGAGTTAAACGTCGTAGTAGTAAGTCGAGTAAAGTAGTAAGTACGTAGTATAGTGAAAAAAGAGTTGTAGTTAAACTATGAAAATATCAGTAAACTCTGGTAAACCATACCTGGTGTCGTGTGGAATGAGGAGGACTCTCTCGCCATTCGGCCGACAAAGGTGACGGCCCTCGGAAATGGAGCGTGGGAACAGGGGAATGGGGATGGTGGTGGACTGGTACACAGACTGCCCAGTGGAATCTGTGTAACACAAAACAGCTGCAAAACCTTGGAAGAAAGTACAGTGGTGGATACAGGGTGGTTCCTTGGGTCCACGGACCCCCCTTTTTGTACGTTTTGCGCAACATCGCGTAGCGGCCCTCGTGACACCCACCCACGCACTAACCGCGCAATCGAAACGTTCTGGACCAGCGAAAACCCCCCTTTCAGAA